AACGAATACGTAATAACATAGTATATCTATATGTTTCTTACATTACCTGAACATTAGCAATTGCTTCCAATAAGCTGGTCTTTCCAGCCGATTGGTTTCCACAAAACACAACCTTGGGAAGTTCAACAAAATCTTCGGCAAATTTTGCTTCCATCCTACTAACGAGTTGGATATACTTGGCTGTGTGTTCTGTGTACGTCTTATTCATAAGTCTTATAGAGTCGTCATCTTGATTATTGTGAGCCGAGTTGAATGCCATTGTGAAGACAACAATCCGACGATATGTCACACTGGGATGCAATCTAAGATGAAGATCATCTAACTCCCGTGAAAATCACTTGACTTCGGAGAAGTGAGATTATAAACTTGTCCTAAGTAGAATCTTTCTCACGAACAAGCTCTTTCGTCTACACTTTGTCTCGCGACTCAAGTTCACTTGTTCTTGCGATATACTGCTTTAAAGAAAACCAAGGTTTTTGTCTTCAACGGGAGAGTCCTTTTCGAAAACTGTACGTTTCGGAACCATAGGTATGTCATTATGTAGTGCTCAAAAGGAGTTTTCAGGCAAGCCAAAAAATTTTGGACATTAATATAGAGGATGTGGTAGAAAAGTAGTATTAAAGATTTTATATAGTGATTGCTTTATCGAAAGTGCTGTCTTTTTCTCTCCCGTTCAACTTTTTGACATTAACGCATTGACAGTTTAGTCTGAATACTTTCTGTAATCCTTTCTTCAACGGTTTTATTGCAAGTTCCTACGGTCTACACTACAACACGACCCCTTCCCATTTGCGTAATTTCGCCCTCAAAACCCGTTCAGTAAGCCATACATCGCTTTCCTCCAACGTCTATACAATACAAGAAATACTCGCACTACAAATAGCAACTCGTCCAATAAATAACTTTGTTTTATTGAAACTTTGTTTCGGTTAGAAGACGAGTGATTAGACAAGTAAGAAGTACTATATGGTTTAACGTGGTAACTTCAAGGTGAAAATCCTTTTTATTTTTTCAAGGAAAGGAAGGAAAAACTTTGTTAAGACGAAAGCGCATTTATCAAAAAATATGCACAATTTTAATGTCGAGTGATGATCATCATAGTAATAGTAATGTGAATTTATGTCCATTCCGAACTGACATTAATATTAATATTAATGTCACATACGACATAGTCCGAAAATACGGTAATTGTCAATTAGTAGCTGACATTACAATTACAAACTTTTACAGAGCGATAATATCAGATTCTCTAGCTTGATCAAATTGTTGTCGCAATGCTACCGTAATATCAGAATACTGTATTACAGCACCAAGAAAAAGCAATACTTCAAATTCGTTTTATATTAATGTTTTTTGGTGAGTTTGTGCAAAAAAGTAAATAAAATTTAATTTAATAAAAAGCGGGAAATGCTCGAATTTAATTTATTGATTTAGTTCTAAGGCTATATTCCAACCCCCCCGTTAATAAGTACAATATAATTTATCAATATTGGACAGGCTTAAAAAAGCTTTGATTACTTAGCTTAAACTGACTTTTAAGGGACAATTCTCGCATATATGTTTTAAGAATATAACCACTGTCCTTTACTTTTTATGAAAAATTCGTCAATTTTTTGGTTATTCATTGAAATATTTATGGTTTTGATGTTTGAAGATGGTGTCCCATCACAATCAGAACATCATTTTTTTGTACGCGCGTCCCCTCTTTTTACTAAAATGTATGGAATATTTAATGGGACGATTATTTTTCGATTTGTATTAGTTCAA